GTGAGTATCCAGACCACCAGCAAGTGAGCCAGGTTTCCCCTTGATTCATCAAGAGACCAAAAACATCTGGACTGTGCTCACCCGGGTCCCCTTCCCTTCCCACAAAGCCTAAGGCTGTGGAGGTGGCCTGGGGAAAGGAGCGAGGCCCACACTGCTCCTCCGTATCCCAAGTTCCATAGAGGTGAGGTGTTTTCTTACAGACCTGAGTCAAGTCCCAACACTGCTCCTTATTCAACGTCTCCCAGCCCGTCTCCTCTTCCATGAAGTGCAGTTACCACCAGCACACCCGTCATCTAATCATTCTGATGATGCAAGGAGACAGTGCTCCACAGGCCCAGCAGAGAGCCTGGCCAGAGGGAGATGTCCAGGAACGCCAATGCTGCTCCCTCCCCACTTCCTCTCTGTGACGAGGGTCTAAGGACAGACCCTCTCCAGGGAATCCAGAGGCCAAGTGACACTGCATGGAGTTGCTGGGAGAGCTGCTTTGGGCGTGTGAGTCACCATCAGCACCACTCCCTGACCTACTTCTCCTGGCTCTGTCTCCTATAGGACATTAGGGAGGTGGGCTTCTCTCATTGCGAGGCCTGCCCAGCCTGCCTCACCAGCCCCAGATGTGCAGTTAAGCAGAACAGTGAGAACACTGCAGCAGGTTGTCCAGGCACCTTCGCACTCGGGTCCCATCCATCTCTGAGCAGGTCTAGTCTGAGGTACTCTGAAAGTGGTCGCCAAGCATCAGAGTTTCCCAGGGAAGTAAGAAAACAATTCAGGAAAATATCATATTGTCTATTGCTTGTCTACTATCCATCCCCTCTTTCTTTATTATGAAAACCCATTTTTGGGGCACCTGGGTGATGCAGTAGGTTGAGTGGCCGGTTCTTGGTCTCAGCTCAGGTCATGATTTCAGGGTCCTGAGATCGAGCCCTGCATTGGGCTCTATGCTCAGCAAAGAGTCTGCTTGTCCCTCTCCCTCCACCTCTGCCCCACCCTCTGCTCCTGCACATGCGCGTTTGTGTGCACACTCTCTCTCTCAAATAAATAAATAAATAAATAAATAAATAGAATCTTTAAAAAAAAAAATTTTTTTTTCTTTCCAAGTGTCAACATGCCCAGGTAAAAATACTTGGTTGCAGCTAAGTCCAGTCTTATTACATCCTTAAGACCAAAGAGTTGCAAGTGGAAATCCCTGGAGAGAGCACTTTTTGCATAATTAAAAGGCAAAGTCTGAAGGAAAGCTTTTTGCATCTTCCAGACTGGAACATGGACAGTGGAACCTGGAGATATAGCAGCCATCTTGTGATCATGAAGCAGCATGCATGAGGGGAAAAGCATACATACTATAGGTCACAGAGCAAACACAATTGAGAAGGCACTTGGTGTCATATGGCGTCTCTGCACGCACTTGGTGTCATATGGCATCTCCGCCTGAACCAACCTGACCACCCACCCTACACTTCTTGTATGTAAGACAATTAAGCACCATGGAAATAACCATGCAACTCCTAGCTGAATACGTTCCAAACTGGTAGAGAATTTTACATCTGAAAGTGGAGTCCTCAAGCAAAAGAATCTAAAAAATACAACTGGCTAAGTGGAGGAGGAAAGACAAAGAGATACAAGAGCTGAATACATCCAGGCTGGAAAGCCAAAGACCCTTGTTACAAAATGACAAAATATTTGGTTGAACTGTCCATTGATGTATCTTGGGATGCAGACCTAATAGAATCCTAAATGTTGTGATAGAGGAAGTGGTAAGAAAAGTTTAGAAAGTTAGCATAAGCTAGTTCCTTGCAAGAGGGGGATGCTGCTATTACAAAAACCAAGCAGGTGCCATTGGCTTTGGGACCAGGTAATAAGTGAAAGCTAGAAGGACCTCAGGAGGTTAGCAGTAATAATTTGGAAGGCAGTGAGGAAATTGTTACTGAAGGCTGAAGATAAGGTGACCCCTAGGGACACCTGGGTGGCACAGTCAGTTAAGCGTCTGCCTTCAGCTCAGGTCATAATCCTGGGGTCCTGGGATCGAGTCCCACATCAGGCTCCCTGCTCAGCGAGGAATCTGCTTCTCCCTCTCCCTCGGCTGCTCCCCCTACTTGTGCTCTCTGTGTCAAATAAATAAATAAAATCTTAAAAAGAAACGAAAGAAAGAAAGAAAGAAAAGAAGAAAGAAAGAAAGAGAAGAAAGAAAGAAAGAAAGAAAGAAAGAAAGAAAGAAAGAAAGAAAGAAAGAAAAAGAAAGAAAGAAAAAATGACCCCTAGTATGTAGTCATGGAATGTCTGGGAACATTATAGACTATGGTAATAGGAAAATAGAAAGCGTACCTAATGAACTCATGGATCCAGCTGAGGAGATGTTTAGACAGAATACTGAAAGTGCCTACTTCTTCTGATGCCCATGATAAAACAGGAGAAGAAAGAGATGACCTAAGAAGGAACTGCTTAGGTGTTTTAGAGGAAATACAGATGGCCCAGAACAGTCTTTACGGCCAGCACATGGCTCTCAAAGTAATAAATGGCTTCAGGGCAAAGGTCAAATCCAGGGCCTTGCCAATAGAGAGGGACTCAGGGTAAAAACAAAGTCAAAGGTAGAGACTTGGAAAGATTTAAGGGCAAGTCTCACAGATCTCAGATAAGCAAGTTGGCTTCTAATAATTTTGGAAGTGTGCCTCTCTGACGCTTTCAAACAAGAGGGCCTTTCTCCCAGCTCCCTGATTCTCAGTCTAAGGTAGCGAGGGGCCAGTCTCAGAGAGATTTCTAAGTGTGGCATTAGTCTAATTAAGTGAATTATAAGTTGACACACAGGAAGCCCACAACATTTTTTTTTTTTTAAGATTTTATTTATTTATTTGAGAGAGAGACACAGCGAGAGAATTAACACAAGCAGGGGGAGTGGGAGAGGGAGAAGCAGGCTTCCCACGGAGCAGGGAGCCCGATGCGGGGCTCTATCCCAGGACCCTGGGATCATGACTTGAGCCGAAGGCAGACAGTTAACGACTGAGCCACCCAGGCAGCCCTAGCCCACAAGATTTTTAAAGGAATTACATAATCCTGTAAGGGATAGAGACAGTTCAAACAAAAGAAGCTTTGGGTTGTCAACTTCCTTTGGGCAGGGGGCAGCTGAGAAAGTTACAAACACAGACATTTCTTATGGAAAATAGAGTTAAAGAGAATGAAACCAACAGCCTAGAGTGTGGACCCAAGAAGAACCACTTATAGGGAGCAGAACTGGGCCCTAATCAAGAATCTGGTGGCATGTGTCTGACTCAATTTCAGAATTGCTATGGACCAATGACACTTTTGTGCCTTTGATCCACCACTACCCCTTTCTGACTAGGAGTGTTTATTATCTGTCTGTCTCACCTTTGTGCATGGAATGTATTGTTCGTAGATCTTCAGGTCAAAGGAATTGTTCTTGAGGAGCTGATTAGGGAGGGCCTGACATAGATAACAAGCCCCTGGACCTCACATTGATGCCTTAACAGGGTGAGACATGGTGGGTCTTGGGAAGGAGTTGACTACATTCTGCACATGGTTGCTAGAAGTCAGACTATGGTATACAGTCTCCCCAGATGGCCACGTCAGTTTTGTGCTACTGCTCCTCACATGAACAGATGGAGCCTAATTCTCTTCCCCTTGAATCTGGGCCAGCCTAATGACTTGCTTGATCAATAGAATGCAGCAGAAGTGATGTTCTTGGATTGCTGAGATAAATCTTAAGCCTCACAGCCCCCATTGGGACCCCTTGGGATGCTCATTTGGGGGATCCTCCCTATCAGAACCTAGCTGCCATGCTCTGAGAAGCCCAAGCTACATAGAGAGGTCATAGGTAGTCATCAGATGACAGTTCCAGCTGAGCTCCCAGCTTGCAACTGGCACCAATTGCCAGGCATATCTAGTAAGCTACCTTGGAAGTTGAATGGATTTGAACTTTCAGATGACTCTAGCTCCAACATCCGTCTGCAACCACATGAAAAATCCCAAATGAGAACCTCATTGACTGATTGCAGTCTCCTTACAGAAACTTGACAGATAATAAATCTGTTTTAATTTACCAAGTGTTGGGTGATTTGTAATGCAACAATAGGTAACCAGAACAGCATCTCTAAGTCACTGAACCAAACCTGAATTGCATACCTCAGACTTATTTTATAAGGCATTTATTTTTTTTATTTTTTTAAAGATTTTATTTATTTATTTATTTGACAGAGAGATAGCGAGAGCAGGAACACAAGCAGGGGGAGTGGGAGAGGGAGAAGCAGGCTTCCCGTGGAGCAGGAGCCCGATGCGGGGCTCGATCCCAGGACCCTGGGATCATGACCTGAGCCGAAGGCAGACACAACGACTGAGCCACCCAGGCGCCCTTTATAAGGCATTTAAATGCCAATTTATTTATGCCACTCTTAGTCGGGTTTCCCGTACCTTACAACTGAATACATTCCTAACTGGTAGAGAATTTGGTAACTAGAAGTGGGATCCATTAAAGAGAGAGAGAGAACCTAACATGTGTAATTAATTGAGGAGAGGATAGAATAAAATATGAGGACCTCACCTTTGCTGGCTGGAAAGTCAGTGACTTTGCTAGGAGGTAGCAAGGTGTTTGGTCATGTTGTCACCTGATGGACCATAGGGTGCAGAACAGATGGCAACCTCGCTACAAGTTTAGGGAAAATGGTAGAAAAAAATCAGGATGCTGATATGAACTAGTCTCTGGTAGCTTCCAACAGGAGAAGAACGAACTCAAACTAGAGCCCATCTGAAAGCAGATATCAAAAGAAATACAACTTTGCTAAAACAGGGCCACTGCCTATGGCCTGCAACCTGATAAGGATTCTTTAATGAGAAGGTCTGCTGGGTTGGTTAGATTACCTTATGCCTCTTGAGCAGATCCTAGTACAGCTAATTGCTCACAGTACTGAATGTCAAGGTCTGTCCTTTGTTCTGAGTATATCTTTCCTTCTTTGTTAGACTTATCTCTTTTTATGAAATGACAGTGATGGTGGATGGTATTTGCCTTTTTTAATATCTTTATTGGGAAAAAAATGTTAGCAACCTATCTCAAATTTTTACTGGTACTTGAAATCCCAAAGTCTGGGACTTAAGGCACAGCTCTGGCCTTGGGGAGATTTCCAGAAGAGTCAGAGCCTAGAGGGGGTAGGATCTAAGGAGGCTCTCGTTTTCCAGCACCCCAACTGAGCCAGCCAGGGTATGGGGCATCACTGAGCGATTAAAATATGATCAACAGATAAGTTTATTGAGTACAAAGAGGATAAGTAGAGTCCTTGTGAGTCCAGGAGGCCACAGCAGAGCAAGAGCTCTGCTTCAGGGCCGGTCTGGGGGGTCCTGGAAGAACTCATTGCACATGATAGTGACAAGGGCAAGAAAAACAGCATACTCCTGGAAGTCCACCTGCTGGTCACTGTTCTCATCCAGATCGCCCATCAGCTTCTTCAGGCCCTCCTCATCCACCTTCTCCTGAAAGTGAGAAAGAATGGTCCAGCAGGCTGCTCTCCACCCGCCCCCACACCAATCACACACCTACTGGTCAGAGCCTAGCCCTCTCTCCGCACTGGGCAGTGGTAAGTGGTGGGCAGGGACCTCCTGGGAGCCACAGAGAGGCTCCGGGAGTAAGGACAGGTAGACGTTCACTGGGGAAGGTCTCCAGCTGTCCCTGCTGGGAGTGAGGAGCACCCAGGTACTCCCTGAGCCCAGCAAGGTGGGCATCACTACCCCCACTGTGCTGATGAACAAATTAAAAATTTCTGAATTCAGAAAAGGCAAACTTTTTAATACCAGCCAAAATGAAACCAAATTAGAAAAGCTTAACCAAAAAAAGTTTTTAAAGGAATAAAGGACATGCCCCATAAGTTCAAAGCCTGAGACCTGACTTTGAATTCTTCGGGAGTCAATATGAGGCAGGTGAGGGGCAAACTGAAAGTTGACAGCATTTTTCTGCAAACTGTCCCAGGGCGCATGTGTTAGCGGGGCTCTCCTCTCCCCACATACCTTCTTCGTTTGGCATATAACATGGACACTAAGAGCGAGAGAACTGTGTGCTCTTGGGCCAGTCACTTCCCCTCTCTGGGCTTTGGTTTGCTCAACTCAGTGAGGGGATTGGACAGATGGACGCTGAGGGCCCTGACAGCCATCCATCCTCTGGAGAGCCGCAGGGAAGGCAGTGACAGGGCACTCACATGTGGGTGGGCCTCGGGCCCCTCTGTGAGTCTGCGCCCTGTGTCTGCATCCACAGGCAGTCCCCACACATACATCAGGACCCTCCCTCCCCAGCCAGTCCCACTCACCCCAACAAAGCTGGGCAGCTCCTTGTGCAGAAGGGCCTTCATCTCCCCCTTACTCAGCTTGAACTTGTCACCCTCTTGGCCAGAGTACTTGTGGAAGGTGGTGACCATCACAGCCAGCGCCTGCTCCAGGGGACTGGACATCTTGGATCTGGGGCCACAGGGGTGGCAGGTGATGGAGACACTTCATCCCAGCCCGCAGGACACTCTGCCCTTGTGCCCCAAAGTGCCTCTCCAAACCCCTCTCTGCATCTCCCCGAGACTGTTCCTCCCTGAGGAGTCATCTCCCCCATAGACGAGGGACCCCCAAGGCCAGAGGAAGTATCCTTGGGCAAGTATGTTTCCTCCACTGGACTAAGGACTCTCAGAGGATAGGGATGAATCTTCCCTCCCAGTAGAGACCTCTGAGTCGGGAGGGGGAGGGGGTACTGTCTCTATCAGACAGGGCACAGGTGAAGGTCCCTGAGCAACCCTCCCCACAGGAAGGACCCTACTGAGATTGGTACTATAGCAATTACATGTCCTGGGCCCTGGGAACAGCAGGGCAGAACTCAGAGGCCATCTTTTCCACGGCTCTGCCTCTGAGAATGCTCTGAGCAGCCCCGGGATGCTTAGCGGGAGTCCTGGGGTAGGCCCCAGTACCTGGTATCAGCGGCAAGTCAAGTCCTGGGCCCATCCCGCTGGCTCTGCCTTCTCAAGGGGGCAGAGATGGGAAGGGGCAAAGGGCAGGGCATTATGCAGCTACGCAGGGCAGGGACCCAGGCAGGCCCACGCACTTGAGATCCCTGGCTCTTGTCCCTTAGTCCTGCTCGAATCCAGGACTTCGCAAAAACAAAAACCAAACTCAAGACTCTTGTTAAAGCACCACCCTCCACACCTCATATTCCTAGGCCTAGGCCCCCAAGAAGGGTCTCTAGATTGAGATGCCTAGACTGTGAGACCCAAGAGAAGGCCTCAGAGCAACCCCTAAACTAAGACCTCACAGAGGAGCCTGGAAAAAACTCTCAGTCGGACACTTCACACAAGGTCCCCCAAAGGGAGAGACCCAGAACGAGGAAGCTATGGAGACAAAGATTAAGACAGAGGAATAAGGCAGAGACCCCTGGGGTCCCCCCCAACCAGCCCTCAGCAAGACAAAGGCACTCACCAGACCAGATGACAGAGAGGCTCTGGAAGGAAAGCAAAGGGCCAGGCGCCCACACTGGGGTTTATATGCTTGCCCCACTGGCCCCCAGCCTGGCATTTTAAGGAAATCAAACTTGCCCCAACCTGATCCCGCTAAAGCCTGGCCTCCTGCCACCCCCACCCACTCCCTGCCAGCCCCCCACCCCAGACTCTGCCGCTCCCGCCAGCCCCACCACCAGCTGGACGAGAAGGCCCCACCTAGGCTGTGGAGGGGAGTGGGAGGTGTCATGGGGAAGCAGGGTGAGGGGCCATCACCCCTGTTTGTGGGACTAGAGTCTCATGCCAGGCCTTGCTCGTATGACACATGCTTGTGGGCTGTAGCTCATTTGTGAGTCAGAGGATACAGGCACCCAGGGACTTCCCAGGCCTGTGTGTGTGCGTGGGCGCGCTTACAAGCTGACTTTAGGGACTCACAGGGGGAAGCTTTGTAGCTGGCAATGCAATTCCTCTTGGTAAGGTAATGAGGGAAGCGTGTGCCTAAAAACAGCTTGAAAGGCCCCTGTGGGTAGGAAAGCATCTGGAAGGAGGCAGGGAAGCCCTGAGAGACCCTCGCAGTGGGGGTGAGCAAGTCAGTGGGGACTGTAAGGAAGCCCCTGGAGGTTCGAAACGGAGAAGGGAAGGCTTGGGGGGGTGGGCAAGTGAGGAGGGGCCGGACAGCTTCCCAAGCGGAGGCCTGGGCTGGGGCAGGCCACAGCCATGGCCCTCCTCACCCCATCCCTCCAGGCTCCTCCCCATACCCAGAGAAAGGCCAACACTGCAGCCATTCAGGACCCAGCCCAGGGGCGGGGTTTTCAGAGAAGAGCGAGCTTCACGCTGCCCCCTCCCAGGCGCCCCTGCCTACTGCTCCTTCTACCTCCACCAGACTGGGCACCGCCCTTCCGGCCGCAAGCTCCCCTCCCCCTTCCAGATGTCCAGCAGCTTCTTTCCCCTCCCCCAACGCCCCAGTCCTAGGTGACTCACCCACTGTTCCAGGCCCAGATGCCCAGGCAGTGACTCAGCGGCACCCGCCTCCTCCCTGGAGGCCAGGGCAGCACTTGGAAACCCCAACCCAGCCTGGGAGGAGAGGATGCTGGCACGGAGACCCTTCATGGACCCCCCCTCTGGGAGCTTTGAGTTAGACACCACAGAGGAGCTGGGACTGAGAACTGACAGGTCAGATGGAAGCCGGGCTGCTCTCTCCTGGGGTCACCATGGGACTCAGGGCAGCCTGAATAGTGCAGATGGAGTCAGGTCTTGGAGCCCCCGGTGTCCCCTCCTTTCCAAGGCACATGGACCCCTCATGCTACTGCTCCTCCCTGTCAAACCCTATTTCATGTAGAGCTTGAAATAAAAATCCTTCACCCTGAGGGTAAAGCCCAGTGGGTGCAATGCATTGCTTTTCGAAGCACTTCTTCCATTCCATTTTGCCTCAGGACGTGAGAGAAGGCCTCTCAGGCCCAGATATCACAGTGGTGCCCATGGCTCCTCCACGAAGCCTGGCAGTGAGGTGCTTGGACTCTGCCCCAACCTGCTTTCCAACCCCCTCTACACATACCCTAACTGCCTGGCTCACCGTGTCTTGAGCACATCATACATGCACCCGGCACGTTGGGACCCACTGCTTGTCCTGACCCCTGCTCCCCACATCTTTTCCTGTTGAAATCCCATCTGTCCTTCAAAGCCTGGGTAAATGCCACCTACTTCAGGGAGCCTTCCCCGGGCCCAGCCAGATTCCATCTCCACCTGCTCTGTCCCATACAAGGACTCCTTTTGTCGTTGTGCACTAGAGCATCGACCCTGCGCTGAATCATCCGACGGCTTGTCTTCCCTTGCCCTCACCCCCACACGGTGAGCTCACTGGGCAGGGGCTGGGTCTTACTCGTTTCTGCATGAACAAAGCGTCTCACACACACCCCGTGCCAATGCACTGGGGGCACTGGGGATGGTATTTAGGAGCCAAGGGACCTTCTCGCCTCCCAAATCACACCACGGATTCTGTTACCAAATCCTAACTTCCCCAGATCCCAGGAGTGGCACTTAGACCCTGGGCTGGAAAACAGCTTCCGGAAGCGGCAAACCCCTCAGGAAACATCCGCTCCAGCCCTGGGGCCCAGGGAGGGAGGGAGCTGAGGGAGTGCCCCAGCAGCAGGGGTGGAGACCGCGGAAACTGGGAGAAGAGGTCAGAGAGCCACAGAAACAGAAGGACTGCGAAGGGAATAAGAGAGCAGAGAGAGAGCCACTGATGACCAGGGGCAGCCCCGGGAGACCTGTCCCTTACCAGGAACTGAGGCCCGGATGGTGCCCTCAAGTGGCCATATTCCTGAGACTGGTGAAAACCACATTAATTTGCCACTAACTCACAGTGTGAGTTGAGCAACACCCTCCCAGTGAGCAGAGCAGGAGGGTTGGGCAGAATGACTCCAGCGTCCAATCACGGCCACGTTCTCCACTTGGCCGTGAAGGCAGAGAAGCTGGGGCACAGCTGGGCCATGGGCACGTCGCTGGCAGTCACTCTGCCCATGCCCAGCCTGAGAAGCTGGGTCATGGCTCTCCGTCCCCCACCCCCGGGCTGCTGGGGCCAGAGGCGTGCAGCCTAGGTGGCCGTTTCCCCACCTGGTTCCTGCCCCCTGGTGGTTGGACCTGTGGTTGGCAGCCAGTCCCACCGCCACCCCCCACCTCCTCCCTACCACCTTTCCCGGCCCCCAGCCCTGGCCCCGCCCGGCCCCTGACTCACGAAGGCGGAGGCAGTGCTGACTCACTTCCAAGGGGCCTTCCCACACCCACACCCTCGCACCCGCCTGACACAGGAAGTCTTTCCTGGACAGTGCCTGCTGAGCAGCACAAGCAGACCTTGGAGACGGAAGCCCATGTCTAGAAGCTGTTAGGAGCCTTAAGGACAGGAGCAGGAGGGAACGAGGTGGCCTGAGTGAGGGACTGAGCACTGCCAAGCTCTGCCCACACACCCCTTTCCCCAGAACAATTCGGCAGAAAGAGAAATGGCCCCAGTGTTGGGGCCCCAGGTTGAAGCCCTGGCATTCCCTCTGGCTCACCATGCGACCCTGGCCCGTTGCACTGCACCCTTGACCTTCCACTTTTCACCACAGGGATCCCTTTTATTAGGCTTTTCCCCCCAAAATATGCTTTGAAATATTTTCTTTTTTTTTTTTTAAGATTTTATTTGAGGGCGCCTGGGTGGCTCAGTTGGTTAAGCGACTGCCTTCGGCTCAGGTCATGATCCTGGAGTCCCAGGATCGAGTCCCACATCGGGCTCCCTGCTCAGCAGGGAGTCTGCTTCTCCCTCTGACCCTCTTCCCTCTCGTGCTCGCTATCTCTCATTCTCTCTCTCTCAAAAAAAAAAAGATTTTATTTGAGAGAGAGTGAGCGAGAGAGAGAGAACACAAACTGCGGGGGATGGGCAAAGGGAGAGGGAGGAGCAGACTCCCTGCTGAGCAGGGAGCCTGAGACGCGGAGGCTTGGGGCTCAGGCTCATTCCAGAACTCCAGGATCATGACCTGAGCAGAAGGCAGACACTTAACCGACTGAGCCATGCAGGTTCCCCGCTTTGAAGTATTTTCTCATAACAAACTGCATTAAATAATTTATCTAACTATCCCCTGATAGCATGATCAGCACAAGAAAACCTGATGATATCACCATGCAATGAGCTAATGCATTCCCAGTGCTGGAGGGCTACGTGGCTGACATGATGGAGTACCTACTGTGTGCTAGGTGATCTCTGTATGTTATTCCATTTAATTTACACAACTATCCCCGGAAGTTGGTACAATCTCACCCACTCTACGGAGGAGGAAACTGAGGCTCAGGCAAGTTTGCCCAAGTTCACACAGTTAACGAGGCATGACAAACATAGGTAGTCACAATGGTAACACTCTTCTATAAGCCCCAATCCCTGCGAATCCCTGAGAGCTCTAACCTTCCCACTCAGACCGTGACGCTCTGCCATTCTCTCCCCACACCCCCACCTGGC